TAAAGTAGAGACACTACATACTGATATACACCTGAACATGAGCAGGAGAGGACTCAAAATGTGATGGCATGATATCCAAACATGTTTTTAGGAATAGCTGGAATATGAAATGATAAAAAAATGTAATTACAAAGATACTTCAAGAAAACCACCTCACCGGGTAAAAAAGACCCACTTATGCATCTAAGGGTTAAGTTCTCAATTCATTGCATTTGCTCCCGATTCACATACGATCAGACTTCAAGATTTTACTATTAACTTTTAAAATCTTACATGGACTAGCGCCTCCATATGTATCATCATTAATTACCCCGTGAATATCTACCAGGCTCCCACGATCACATTATTTCAGTCTCCTTTCCATCCCCAGAATTCACAAATCATCCGTAGAGCTCATTCATTCAGAGCACTTTCGTTTGGAATCGTCTTCCATTTCAGATCCGTGAAGACATTTTCGTTGTCTCCTTTAAAAGCAAACTCAAAACCCATCTCTTCGCATCTGTCTGCCTTGTAAACTAATTTCCATCTCCTAGTTTCCGTTCAACATTACCATCACTTCAGTCACATGCTTTTATCACATGGCAATACTTAAGTTGTTGTATAATGTTTTTATAATGTTGATGCTATGTTTGTATTTTGTTTTTGTCTTTTTGTTTGCTTTGTACAGCCCTTTGAGGCATTTCTTTTAATTTGGGTCTATACTCCATTTTGATTTGATTTGAAAAGCATGAAATGAGTGTGTAACATATGTGTGTGTGTGTGTGTGTGTGTGTAGTACCGGGGTCCTCCGGTGGCCTACATCCAGCAGGTGTTGGTGAAGGCGGCGGTGTCTCCGTGGGACAGCAGCCTGGTGCCGGTGGACGTGTTTCGGTCTCCGCTGAGTCGAGCCTTCAGACTGCTGGAGGAGATCCGCAACCACGTGCACTCAGACGGGTAAACGCGCACACACACACTCACACACACTCACCCTCACCCTCACACACAGACAGACAGACAGACAGACAGACAGACAGACAGACAGACAGACAGACAGACAGACAGACAGACACACACACACACAACACGGTGCCATGTTAAATATGTTTTGTAAAACGTCAATGAGTGCCTGTACTACAAATATGTGGCTACTATTATAAACCTAATGATTGCTGTCTGCTGCTTATGTTCCTGATTAACCAATTAAAAACACTCCACTGTTTTTTTTTCTAATTGCTCGCTTTATCTGACCAACAATCTGATTGCAGATTCCTCGGGACATTGTTTTGAATTACCTGCAGATTCAAAATAAAATAAAAACATCATTCACAAACTGTTTTGTAACTTTTATCACGGAGAAGGAAAACTTCAATTGAACTGTATATTCGTAATAAAGCATTTTACATTCAATCACTTATTTCCCTATCATTTAGTCAAAGAAAAGTCAAACTGAATAATAAGTTAAGTCAATCATGTCCAACTGCCCCTCTTTTTAGGATCCATGGGTGTCTGTAAAGCACTCTAGTTCTGATTTGTACACCTTCTTGTTTTTGCTTGGAAGTTGTACATTACAGTTCATTTAAGTCCATTGAAATAAAGAACATTTGAACCAGAGTGTAATGAGTTACATGCTGCTGCCCTTGTCTTGTTATTATGCAGTTGCTGGACTAAAGTTACCTCCTCTGCAAAATACTAATTACTTGAGGCTCTTTTGGGTTTGAGATACACTCCTGTCCTCTCCCCTCCGTCTCCCCCTCTGTCTCCCCCTCTGTCTCTTAAGATAAGAAGTACTTTATTGATCCCAAGTTGGGAAATGTTTGTGTTGCAGCAGCATAAAAAGACATGGCGTTGTACAATAAAATTAGGAGACAAGAAGAAAGCAACTTGTCTTATTTCTTATAAAGACATTTCAACATCTCAATAGCAATAAAACATCTCTCTGTCTCCCCTCTCAGCTCTGGGGTTCGCAGTCTGGAGTCGCTCTGTCTCCAGGTGACAGATTTGTTTCCAGGGTTACGGCGGATGCAGTCGGTGCTGCCGGAGCATGGCTGTTTGCTCGTTTCCCCCGGCAACTACTGGCAGAACCAGCAGGAGCTGTTCGACTCGGACCCCGACCTCCTGAAGACGATCCAGAAACACGAACCCAAAGGCCTCAGCACCTCGGCCACGCTGCGAGGTGAGGAAGAGGAGGAAGAGGAGGAGGGAGATGCATTACCCACAATGCATCTTAATGCTGTTTTTTAAAAGGGTTTAAAATCTTATGCTCTTTGGGGTTTTCCCTTTCCTGTAGTGAGTTATATAGGTTTTTGTGCATGGCTAAAATCCAAAAGTTCCCTCCAGCATGTTTTTCATGATAGGCTAAGGGGTGAGACATCTCTAACAGTTGACCAATCACAACAGAGCCTGCCAGCTAACCAATCAGAGCAGACTGGGCTCTGGTTTCAGACAGAGGGTAAAAAGAGGTGCTGCAGCACAGGCAGTATGAGAATAATAAAGAGCTTTGTGAACATTAAAACATGGAGACATGTCCCAGTAGAGACACTACATACTGATATACACCTGAACATCAGCAGGAGAGGACTCTTTAAAGTAGAGACACTACATACTGATATACACCTGAACATCAGCAGGAGAGGACTCTTTAAAGTAGAGACACTACATACTGATATACACCTGAACATCAGCAGGAGAGGACTCTTTAAAGTAGAGACACTACATACTGATATACACCTGAACATCAGCAG